ACACAGAGAGACAGAGAGAGAGCGAGTGTGTTGGACCATGTACCTCCTTAAAGGTCTGCAGCAGGTTGCTGCCGGACACAGACAGCATGATGTCGATGTGGTGCATGATGAAGAGCGGCTCCTCCTGAGTCTGATACGGGAAGTAGGCCAGGTTATCAGCCACGAACAGCAGCATGCTCACCTCCAGCTTCTGCTCAAAGAGAGAGAGGGAGAGAGGGAGAGGGCGAGAGGGAGAGGGCGAGAGGGAGAGAGAGAGAGGGAGAGAGGGAGAGGGCGAGAACTCAGTGTTTTCTCTTTTTAATGGAGAGGTTATTATGGGGTTTTTAAACGTTGTTACTCCCACTCAGTGCGTATATAACAGAAAGTCTTTTTTCAGTTCATTTTGATGTTTCTACGGTTTATTTTTATTGTTATCGCCATGAGTTTCTACGATAAACACATCATGAAGAGCTGCGATGAGAAAATGGACCAAAAGCAGCTTTAGAGGAGCTTCTCTGAGCTGGGCCCCAACCTGCTCTCCCACACAGAGACCGAGCAACTTAGAGAGGGCCTGAAAAGACTGTAAAAGATATGGGGATTTGGAGCCCTCTCTGGTGGAAACGTGTAACTGCACCTTTCCTGAGTGGATGAATCTGTTCACTGAAAGATTTCAGAGAGAACTCAGTCTAGACTTGGTGAAGGAGCGTCTCTGAGGATGAGAGTGAATCATCTACTATTGTCATCATATCTTCATCAGCATGATGTTGATTCTGAGATTTGAGGCCGAAACATCGAGCCGGACCTTCTTTTAGAGTCTGTGGGTGACGTTAATACGTAAAGACGTACGACGTGGTGTAAAAAAGTCTCCTCACTCATTATTGACACTTCCTTCAGTTTTAACAACATTAATCTTCTGCACAGCTCAAAAACTACTGAACTACCAGGCTGTAAAAATACTTGAACATTGTTATTATTATTATTACTATAATTACTATCATTATAAGTCTATGTAAAGCAGTAACGGCCAGTCACAACAAACGTGCATCACCATCATGAGCTTTTAGATTGAACAATGCTGCTGTATTTCTTGATCAGATTTCTGTTTACACAGCAATTTATATCGTCATAGTGACGCCCAACAGCTCTACTGAACATGGTACTTTATGTCCGCATGTTCCGTCTATACTAGTTTAGCCTCATCTCATTTTTAAAAGGCTGAGCCAATCAGAACAGAGTTCATTTGCATATATTAGCTGGAACTAACCGAGCTGTCGTCGAACAGGTTGAGCAGAGAGACGAGGAAGGCTCTGCGCTGGTTCCTGCTGTTGCGCACCATGCTGTACAGGTGAGAACACAGCGCCGTGTTGGACTCATCCTTCCGGAACCCGCGGATGATGGAACCAGAGGAACCGATCACGGCCTGCTGCACCTGGTACGCCATCTTCATCCCTGCCACGGCCTTCATCTGCAGTACAGACAGACATTCGGCAAAATACGTGATTCCAACAGTCCCTCGAATTCTCCGTTCCACCTTAAATGGTGCAGACTGTAGCTGCTGCCCATTTAAGGTGGAATGGAAAATTGAAATGAGAGGACTGGCGAATAGGAAGCCAAGCAAGAGAAGCAAAACTCAAACACAGTAATAAAACTCCTAAAATAGAGAATCGAACGGCGGATGAAGCGAGAGGAACCCACATGGATGAAGCCCGTGTACTTCTTGTCGATCTCCACCAGCTGCTGGTCGGCTTTATTCCTCATGGTGGGTTCAGGGTCTGTTCCCATGGCGACCAGGTACGGCACACACTGCATCAGGAGAAAACAGAACTGTCTAACTCTAATGAAATCACAAACTGCTGTAGCTGAATGGTGGAGCTAAACTGCTGTAGCTGAATGGTGGAGCTAAACTGCTGTAGACTGAATGGGTGGAGCTAAACTGCTGTAGCTGAATGGGTGGAGCTAAACTGCTGTAGACTGAATGGTGGAGCTAAACTGCTGTAGACTGAATGGTGGAGCTAAACTGCTGTAGCTGAATGGTGGAGCTAAACTGCTGTAGCTGAATGGTGGAGCTAAACTGCTGTAGCTGAATGGTGGAGCTAAACTGCTGTAGACTGAATGGTGGAGCTAAACTGCTGTAGACTGAATGGTGAGCTAAACTGCTGTAGCTGAATGGTGGGGCTAAACTGCTGTAGCTGAATGGTGGAGCTAAACTGCTGTAGACTAAATGGTGGAGCTAAACTGCTGTAGACTGAATGGTGGAGCTAAACTGCTGTAGACTGAATGGTGGAGCTAAACTGCTGTAGCTGAATGGTGGAGCTAAACTGCTGTAGCTGAATGGTGGAGCTAAACTGCTGTAGACTGAATGGTGGAGCTAAACTGCTGTAGCTAAATGGTGGAGCTAAACTGCTGTAGACTGAATGGTGGAGCTAAACTGCTGTAGACTGAATGGTGGAGCTAAACTGCTGTAGCTGAATGGTGGAGCTAAACTGCTGTAGCTGAATGGTGGAGCTAAACTGCTGTAGGTGAATGGGCGGGGCTAAATATCTGCAGTACCTGTACAGGGTGTATGAGCCCCTGGCTGAGCGTCAGGGCGATGACGTTGAGGGCGAAGTGCCGGACGCTGGACTGTGTGTGAAAGAAGGCCTCCAGCACCTGCTTCAGGTAGAGCTGCATGATGGAGCTGCTCATTCCTGAGGAGATATCGCCCATCTCCTTCAGGTCCTCCTGCTTCGACAGCTTCTGCCCTGCACGCGCACACACACACACACACACACACACACACACACACAGAGACGTATTTAACCCCCTGCTTTTAGACTGATATATGTAAATGAGCTCTGTTCTGATTGGCTCTCCTGCACGCGTCTCATTCACAAAGTCTGAAACTCTCAGTCTGAGTGGGCGGAGCTAACCCGCTGTAGGCTGCTGTGCAGATATGTGTAACGTATGTAATGACTGTCAGCGTCTCACACTCTCGGTCTGCCTCCTGCATGCGGGAGTCCTCCTCCTGAAGGTACATCTGCAGGTTCTTCAGCACCTGGATCTTCAGGGTGATGGAGCTCTTAGGTTCAGACAGCAGGCCGTTATACAGAGTCTTCACCTCCGGAACAAACATCTGACTGGGGTGCATTATGAACATGAAACCTACAGACAGAGAGACAGAGAGAGAGACAGCGCCACTCCTTTATTCACAGATTCAAAATTACTCGTAATATGAGTCTCTTTTGCATCAACATTGTTTTATTAAAACAAAGTATTCTAAACTTTATATTGATATTTCAATGATAAATTTTAATTTATACTGATATTTTAGCGAGCACATCTTTTTCATTATTCGTGCTGCAGGGCTGACATTAACCCCACTAATAATTCAGAAAAATACACAATACATATCATAAATAAACTAATGCACAGCTGTGGCCTGAACTACATTACACAGGCTTTAAATACTGGCTCTTGCTCTCAAAATCACTCTTAAAATGAAGGAGTTCTCCGGTCTCTGAACTCTTCAGCCCAGCTCTACCCTTATCAAACAGAGTGTGTGTAGAGTGTGAAGAACAGAAGTGTAACTGAGTGTGACGTCGTACCCAGACCGATGATGGCTTTACACTTCACCTCCTCGTCTTCATGGTTGGTGAAGTACAGCAGAAGCTCCAGGACTTTCTCCTTAATCTCAATCTGTAACACAGACACGGTGATGACTACAGTAACACTGATCTATCACAGTAATCACGTTTTCACAGGTCTCACAGGGTCATTCCACTCTGGGGTTCACTACAGCACTGAGCAGCGTGTTGTAGTGAGAACCATGTGTAGGGAGAACCGTGTGATGTAGTGAGAACCGTGTAGGGAGAACCGTGTGGTGTAGTAAGAACCATGTGAGAACCGTGTTGGGCTGCGAGAGCCATGTGGTGTTGTTAGAACCCTGTGGTGCTGTCAGAACCGTGTGGTTTAGTGAGAACCCTGTGGTGCTGTCAGAACCGTGTGGTTTAGTGAGAACCCTGTGGTGCCGTCAGAACCGTGTGGTTTAATGAGAACCCTGTGGTGCCGTCAGAACCGCGTGGTTTAGTGAGAACCCTGTGATGCTGTCAGAACCGCGTGGTTTAGTGAGAACCCTGTGGTGCTGTCAGAACCGCGTGGTTTAGTGAGAACCCTGTGGTGCTGTCAGAACCGCGTGGTTTAGTGAGAACCCTGTGATGCTGTCAGAACCGCGTGGTTTAGTGAGAACCCTGTGGTGCTGTCAGAACCGCGTGGTTTAGTGAGAACCCTGTGGTGCTGTCAGAACCGCGTGGTTTTAGTGAGAACCCTGTGATGCCGTCAGAACCGCGTGGTTTAGTGAGAACCCTGTGATGCTGTCAGAGCCGTGTGGTTTAGTGAGAACCCTGTGGTGCTGTCAGAGCCGCGTGGTTTAGTGAGAACCCTGTGGTGCTGTCAGAGCCGTGTGGTTTAGTGAGAACCCTGTGATGCTGTCAGAGCCGCGTGGTTTAGTGAGAACCCTGTGGTGCTGTCAGAACCACGTGGTTTAGTGAGAACCCTGTGATGCTGTCAGAGCCGCGTGGTTTAGTGAGAACCCTGTGGTGCTGTCAGAGCCGTGTGGTTTAGTGAGAACCCTGTGGTGCCGTCAGAACCGTGTGGTTTAATGAGAACCCTGTGGTGCCGTCAGAACCGTGTGGTTTAATGAGAACCCTGTGGTGCCGTCAGAACCGCGTGGTTTAGTGAGAACCCTGTGGTGCCGTCAGAACCGCGTGGTTTAGTGAGAACCCTGTGATGCTGTCAGAACCGCGTGGTTTAGTGAGAACCCTGTGGTGCTGTCAGAACCGCGTGGTTTAGTGAGAACCCTGTGGTGCTGTCAGAACCGCGTGGTTTAGTGAGAACCCTGTGATGCCGTCAGAACCGCGTGGTTTAGTGAGAACCCTGTGATGCTGTCAGAGCCGTGTGGTTTAGTGAGAACCCTGTGATGCTGTCAGAACCGCGTGGTTTAGTGAGAACCCTGTGGTGCTGTCAGAGCCGCGTGGTTTAGTGAGAACCCTGTGGTGCTGTCAGAGCCGTGTGGTTTAGTGAGAACCCTGTGATGCTGTCAGAACCGCGTGGTTTAGTGAGAACCCTGTGGTGCTGTCAGAACCGCGTGGTTTAGTGAGAACCCTGTGATGCTGTCAGAGCCGCGTGGTTTAGTGAGAACCCTGTGGTGCTGTCAGAGCCGTGTGGTTTAGTGAGAACCCTGTGATGCTGTCAGAGCCGCGTGGTTTAGTGAGAACCCTGTGGTGCTGTCAGAACCGCGTGGTTTAGTGAGAACCCTGTGGTGCTGTCAGAACCGCGTGGTTTAGTGAGAACCCTGTGGTGCTGTCAGAATCGCGTGGTTTAGTGAGAACCCTGTGGTGCTGTCAGAATCGCGTGGTTTAGTGAGAACCCTGTGGTGCTGTCTGAACCGTGTGGTTTAGTGAGAACCCTGTGGTGCTGTCAGAACCGCGTGGTTTAGTGAGAACCCTGTGGTGCTGTCAGAACCGCGTGGTTTAGTGAGAACCCTGTGGTGCTGTCAGAGCCGTGTGGTTTAGCGAGAACCCTGTGGTGCTGTCAGAACCGCGTGGTTTAGCGAGAACCCTGTGGTGCTGTCAGAACCGCGTGGTTTAGTGAGAACCCTGTGGTGCTGTCTGAACCGCGTGGTTTAGTGAGAACCCTGTGGTGCTGTCTGAACCGCGTGGTTTAGTGAGAACCCTGTGGTGCTGTCTGAACCACGTGGTGTTGTGAGAACCCTGTTGTGTGGTGAGAACCGTGCTCATGTACCTTGGTGGTGCCTTTGAACTGCTCCAGGTCGAAGTCGAAGTGCCGGCACAGCGCCCCCACGGTGAAGAGCGAGCGCAGCAGCGCGGCTTTGGTGGCCGCCTGAGCCAAACTGCTGCTGCCCTCCTGGTGCTGCACCTTCAGCTTCGTCAGGGCGCCATAGTAACGGTTAAAACACGCCCACACAAACTTATAATTATGGGTTACTTTATTTACCACAGCGCCCAGACAGCTGACACAGTGCTGAACCACCTGCACACACACACACACACACACACACACACATACACACACACACAGATATTCACTAATCGACATACAATCACTCAATCAGTCTATAAACTGCTTCACACACCAATCATTTTAACAGTAAACATATCAGTAACGTCTTATAAGGTCTTTATAACAAATGCATAACACAAGCTTTGAATGATGTTTAAAGAGCAAAACATTCATTAACAGCTTATTAACAACAACAGCTGGATGTTTTATAGGTTCCAGACAGCGTATTGACATAAATTAAAAAGACAGACGTTTATTCTGTTTATAACACTGTTACGAACCACACTTCCCGAATAAATGCACTCTTAAGGCATAATTAAGAGCAGATGGAAGCTTCTGGTGCCATCAAACTTAATGAATAACTTCGATACATATTTCAACAACATCAGAAACTTTTAAAACACTGAAGCATCAAAGGTAAAGGTACTGTGAGGTATTACAGCTACAGTCAGTTTCCATTAGTGAGGCCTAAAATGCAGCACATACATAAACAATATGAACTGTATATTTATGCTGTAAGTCAGACAACTATACAGAACTGATATAACAGTGTTATAAACAGTACAACTGTCCATCACTTCAGTTTAGATTAATGCAAAGATTTTACTTCATAAAACATTGTGTCATCTGGTGGTTGTTGGCATAAGCTGTTTAAAACTGGTTTATAAATATGTTATTCAATGTTTATGCATGTTTTACTAAGTCCAGTTTCTTCAAACTGTTTTATTTTTCCTGGTGAGTAAAGAAATGAAATGTGCCCAGAGCTTTTCTCAGTGTTGTAACGTTATGTATGTGTGTTTGTTTATGTAGCGTATGTAGGAGCGCATATATGAGCCACATCTACGTTGTTCTGTGCGAGATGGACTCACAGTCATGCCGTATTTGAGGATGAGCTTCATCAGGTCCTCCTCGATGGTGGTGAGGAAACTTTCACTCGGATGCTCCATCAGAGGAACCACCAGCTCCAGGATCTTAGCTACGTTACAGATCACCATGAAGTCACTCTGAGACTGAGCACACACACACACACACACACACACACACACACACACACACACACACACACACACACAGAGTTAACATGACTGTAGCTTCTACACTGAACCTACTCTGCTCTGTCTCCACAGACGGCCACTAGATGGCACTGCAGTGTAACTGTATCAGAGCTAATGTGACTCTGAAGGCTGATTTATTCTTCAGGGTAGATGAATGTAAACTTATCTGCATCCACACAGAGAAGAGAGACTCAGACACGCGTGAGTCTGCAGAGCTGGGCACTAAGCTGATAGTGCTGGGGGCGAGACGAGACCCAAACAGCACCCAAGCAGAACCGAAACCAGCACCAAATCAGACGGAGCAGTTTGAGGATCAGCTGACAGAAGAGGCTTTACAGCCAAAGCACTGAAGCGATGATTCAGTCGTAAACAGAAAAGAAAAAACATCCCTCCCTCTTTGTTTTCTGTA